CAGAAGTTCCCTAGGCTATGTATTCTTTAAAACATGGTACTACACATATCTCTTTACGGACAGATAAGTTCTTTAAACTGCAGCTCTGCACCAACAATGAAAATACGTACCATGTCCAACTTCACGTCGATTCAAACCCCCACGTTTGGCAACTTCGTTTATTGAAAATGGTGGAAAACTATAATGAAGCATGAAACGCTTTGTTGGTGGGCCAACAATTGAATCCAATCGCTGGGCATCACCAGGAGCACCAAGGGTAACTGTACATAAAACCTACAAGCAAAATTCGGATTATTCATGTGGTGTATACGTATTCAGATTTTCTGGTGTGCCATTGTGCTAGAGAGAGAGAGAGAGAGAGAGAGAGAGAACCTGAGTATCTCCACGTGAAAACAGTGCAGAACCATGCAATATCGGGTATGTGCTTGATTCGCAGTACAACGGCCGCACCTCATCAAGTCGTCTACCATCGACTCTAAGGCCTTCTTTAATTATTCTCTTGCGTATGACCTGCACAAAAGAAGGGCACAACTCTTTATGAACTGAAATAATATAAGTGATTCTACACACAAAATTGCACTGAATGAAATGCTATCAAGTGATGCCAATGATAGATGGTAGCTCCTCACAACTTTCATCTTGATATTAAAAGCTAATAAGCCCAATAACTCAATATAATTTGCACAAGTTCTCAGAGTTTTCCGTGTACTACTGGAACAGAAAATTTATCCTGAATTCAGAAATAGAGGTATAGAAGGATAGAGCAAACAATAGGTCAGGTGAATGCATAGGGACCAGATCTTTCGTTTACCAATTATAAATTACTCATGCACATGACTGAAAACAGATGTTTGGTACAATGGCTGCAAGTTTGCCAAATGTTAAGAATTCGCTATTATAAAGAGATCAATGTGCTCGGTTGTTTCTATTGCACATACATTTGTGCATTGAACAGATAAGATCAGCAGATGTTACATAAAGTTCCAGATTTCAGTGTGTAAAATGAGATATGACAGAATCATTCATTTAGGCACGGCAAAAAATATGATTAAAACATTAATCATTGGAGTTAACATTCCTCATACTGAAACAGGATACCCATGAGCTACTAGTAAATGTGTACGTGCAATGCACGTTGTTATTACGTAGTCTATTAATTGCACGCTCATATTAGGTTGGATATTAATTGCACGTTAATTACATGATTAGTGCTGCCGTTCATATTTGGTACGGCATTAAGTGCATGTTAAACATGTTGAGCGCTCGCCATCAGAGTAATCTAGGTCGTTGGATTGACATGGTTTGATGGTCTAGATTAGTTGGATCTGCCCCTTCAGGTCTTTTTTATATTGGTATAGATATAGATGCATTTGTAACAGCAAGAATGTATTTTCCGCTCATCTATTGACAAAGCCCACACTTACGCGTCAAACAAAGACCACACTTTTATCTATATCTTCCAGTTTCCAGAGAAATCAATGTGCTCTACCTGCTTTCTCACAGTATCAACTGCTTTAGGAAGAAACTTCAAGCTTTCCTCGTCACATTCTTCTTCAAGCTTCTCTTTTACAGATTCTGTGATCTTTTGCAGGGCTTCTCCACGCTCAAACTGCAGGAAATGAAAATATCCAATGAATTCATGGTGCAAGCAGAAAACAAGAACAGATTTAACTTATTACTGGATGACTCCTCCAAAAAGGTAGAGGTTAGTTTTTGATTCTTCATGGTTTTCATGGTTTTTGATTCTTCATGATTTATAGTTGAAGCAGTCAAAATATGGTTTTTTGGGCAACCTTTGAACATAGTTTTCATCATAATATACTTGCAAAAGGAAGTGAAAATGATATTCTAGACAAATCTAATTACATTACTTTCATGAAGTCAATCTTTATCTTCCAAACATATTATTATTCAAAGTTTATAAATATCGACCACACAAAATCCCAGGGCTGGGCAACTTCCATGAAGTCAATCTTTATCTTCCAAACATATTATTATTCAAAGTTTATAAAGATTGACCACACAAAATCCCAGGGCTGGGCAACTTACATTTAGGGTATGTTTAGTTTGTGCCGCAAGTTGCCATGCCAAAAAGTTGGCTAGACACAAAATTGGTTGAAGATTTGCTTGTCAATGGATTGGCCAACATTGGCTAGAAAAATGTACTAAAGTTGGTGCTGGAGCATTGACATGTCAAAAGGTTGGTCATACTCCAAACAAAAGCCAATGTTTTGGCCCTGACCAAAAAATTAGCAGGGCTCACTTTGGTCACGATCCAAATGCACCCTTAGAGACGGAGGCAAAAATTGTTAAGAAAGTTCACAATCGCACATTTCCGCTTTTAACTCCACAAACTAGAAAGGAAGAACTTCAACTAGAAAGGAAGACCTGCAGTCAAAAGAGAATACCCAACATACCTTGCCGTATGATTTATCTGTGAAGACTTCCTCAATTGGTGCTTCTGATAATGTTCTGATTTTCTCGTAGTTTTCATCTGAAATCATTGACAGCTTGTACTCTCTTTTCTCTTTGCCAGCTCGCTTGGCCAATCTAATTTGAGGGTCGATATACTTGACTGCCTGAGAATCATAGCCAACTGCATGAGAATATAATTATAATGCATCAACTAAAATAAGAAAGAAATAATACCTCAGAGTGCGCAAGCTTCATTCCTGCTTGAAGATCCCTTTCAGTTATCTCACGAGCTTGTACATCTATCATTAGTGTTTTATCCCGTGAGCATGCATAAACTAGGTTGAGATCACTCAAACCTAACTGCAAGTTACAGAGAAATATACAGAAAATATGAGTAAAGTGAATGAAACCACAATATTTACAATGGATGTGAAAACCACATATAAACTGATGTTAGTTATGGTGCAAATAACAAAGAAATGGAATAGGCACCATGAGCCACGAAACGCTCCTGGGAAATGTTATATCCACAAAGAGTGCAGACGTACACCATCATGGGTACAACTGAGGCACAGTGGAGGATAGATAAAAATGATTACATATTGTAGCACTTGATCGATATTACCTCATCCACTGTTGGGTTCAACACGAAATTCCCATCAATCCTTCCAACACGTATTACTCCAATTGGCCCATTCCAAGGTACATCAGAAAGCATGAGAGCAGCTGAAGATGCATTAGCAGCCATAACATCCGGGTCCTGCTTTCCATCTGAGGAAAGTACATTTACCGTGATCTACAAAAGCAGGATGCAAATCCATCAATGAGTGATAATGCTTGTGCAAACTTCACGAACTTCAGGAATAAAATATTAAACAGAAAAATCACCTGGACTTCATGGTAAAAGCCATGAGGAAACAATGGCCGTATTGGTCGATCGATTATGCGCCCGCACAGAAGTTCTCTTTCCTTAGGGGCACCTTCCCTGCGCATATATGTTGTGGGAATAACACCTTGAGCATATTGCTTCTCTTGATAATCAACCTACAGCCGACAAAATAACCAACATGCTCATCATGGGAAAGATGCAGATAGCAAATGAATAGTGTTGCCTTGAAAAGTTGAAAATGTGAAGTCAAACATATTCCATTCTTCCTTTTGGGTTAAGCATAGCATATCCCCAGTAAGTTCAATTGGCAATGAGAGAAGTGAAGTACACAATGGGCCTTTAAGCTTGTCCGGGGTGGTCAAGTAGGTCCCTAAACTAGAAAACTGTAGATTATTTAAGTGCTTCAGTGAAGTTTAAGGGTCGACAATGTATTTAGCTCTATCAAATTTTACTGCAGGGTATCAGCAGCTGTAAGAAACAGCTTGAGGGTACTAAAATTACGCTTTATTACCGTGTAGCACTGAACACTACCTGCCCAAAATCAAGCGTGGAAATAGGCAAAAGCTGGTTGGGCAACCGGGATTATGACAATCCACTGCAATGCCACACACAGCCTTAATTTGAACAATCTCTTACGCCAAACTGGTAATTCGCACAAATGAACGCATACTAATTAGTAGTACTGCAACCAAACCGTGCTTGTGAACCATATCGTGCTAACAAAAAAGGAAAAACATGTCGCACAAATCAAATGCTGTAGCTGGAAGACAGTTAAAACTGCGTCAAATGGAAGTTTGTGTATATGCAGATTAAATTGCCACATAGGAGGAGAATTAACAGGCTCTGAAATACACGTCACGTCTACAGAAGGGGGAAAACGATCCTTACGGTTAGAGGGAGGAAGTCCCGGACGGGGTCGGAGGACTTGGCGGCGGCGACTGTGGACAGGACGTTGGTCTCCTCCATGGAGATGACCACGGAGCCGTTGGCGAAGCGCGCCATCTTCCCGGTCTCGAAGGCGATGAGGCGACCCCCGATCTCGAACTCCTCGCGGAAGCTCTCCAGCACCTTCCGCCCCGGCGGCGGCGGCGCCGCCTGCGGGGCCTCCTCCGCCGTGTCGGAGAGGAATGCGGCCCGCGTGCCCGGGACGGCGAGCCGGAGCTGGTGCCGGCGGCGCGCGAGGAAGCGGAGCGAGGCCACCGCCATCGACATGGTGGCGCGCGGGGACTGGGAGGAGCGGCAGCAAGAGGAAGAGGGGTTTGGGCCTGGGTTTAGGGTTTAAGCGGCGAGGCGAAATGGTTGGGCCTTTCGCCGTCTTGGCACGGGTCCGTGCAGTGCAGCGGTCGATCCTGGACCCATGTGTCAGTGGGCCAAATGAACACAGCTTCTCCAGTTTTACGACCCTCACGAGATCTGGACCGTACGAGGAGCGACCGACGGCTCAGGACGCCCGTATCGTGTCGAAAGAAACCCCATTTCTCTCTCTCTCTCTCCCGCACTGATCGCCTGCCGCCGCCGCCGGGAAGAAGAGCTCCGACTCGAAACCCCCCAAAACCCTACCGCGCCTCCTCCCGTCCTCGCCGTCGCCCCCCTCGCTCCTCCGGTATGCCCTTCATATCGCCCTCTCCTGGCCTCGCCTCGCCTCTCCTCCCCTCCTTTCTGACCGCTGATTTTGCCGTCGGGATTCGTAGGAACGATGCCGCTGGGGCTGATACTGAGCTCGATCGGGAGGTCGATGCGGCGGAAGCGGACGTCCTCGCTCAACATCCTCTCCTCCAAGAGGGCGCCCCGGGATTACTACAAGGGCAAGAACTGCAAGCCCACCGGGTTCCACACCCGCAAAGGTGACAAGTTAGACAGCAACTCTGATCTGAACCTAATTGTCTTCTCGGTATCTTATGCCCGCTGTTCGAGACCACAGCTCTTATCACCTTCTGCTTCGATGCGTCTTTTACATTCAAAGATGCAGGCCATGGTCTGGTCGGTTGAGAAATCTAAACGATTTTGAATCAGATAGTTAAAATAACATGGCACAGCGGATCAAATTGGCTCTCAGTTCGACGTATGGGAACTAGTATTTGCCCCATATTAGGAACGAATATGGGATGTCAAATGTGAAGTGTGTTGTTCTGAGTAAACCATTAAACCGTATGTGAACCAAGTGCATGCTTACTTGGCATTTGACATCATAATAATATGGTAAAGTTTGGTGAGTGGACAAGGTGCAAAACATTTCAATGTAGGCGGTCTATAGCCATTGGGGAGGTTCATGGGAACTAGTATTAACCATGGATTTGTAAAAACTAGTACCAGGTATTTTCAATCGTTGTTCATGCATACACCATATGGCTAGAAAGAACTGCAACTGTGGAGAGCAAATTCAGCAATTTCACCAAAGAAGAATATAGATGCTTCTTTCGATAACATACAAGAATACTGATACAGCCTTGCACTTCATGGAGGAAGAGCCATTCCAATCATGTGCCACATCAGTCTCTCTATCATGGCCACACAAACTTGGAGTTAGGAAAAACAAGGCAGCTTAGAAATAGCAAAACAGTATTGTGATTATATGGCAAGTGAGAAGAGATGTTTTTGGTCATGCCTACGATGGTAGGCTTGTCTTATATTTGTATATTGCCGTGCGGGCATACAAACAGTCATGATCACTAGATCATGGATATAGTTACTGATTCTAGTGCTACCATATGAGTTGCAGAAACGAAACAACTAGGAACTGAACAACTAGTGCCTAGTATATGCAAGAGTTAATATGCCCTGCAATCTCAACCACTATGAACAAGGTTGAGATTGGCTCTAAAACGTTCCAACATCTGCTTCGTTGATGGCTTGGTGAAGACGTCAGCGACCTGATCTGCTGACGACACAAAACAGACTTCCAAAGCTCCAAATGCAAACCTTCTCCCAAACAAAGTGGGAATCCACTTCAATGTGTTTAGTGCGTGCATGAAACACTGGGTTTGTAGTTAAGAACTAGCACCCAGATTATCGCACCATAGAACTGGAGGTCTTGGCTGAGGGACATGAGGTTCTCGTAGAAGCGACTGAACCCAAGAAGCTCTGCAGCACCATTTGCCAGGGCTTTGTATTCTGCCTCAGTGTACGATCTGGAAATATCAGGCCGTTTCCTAGCACTTCAAGAGATGAATTAGGACCGAAAAAAAATTGTGAACCCGCTGGAGGATCTCCGGTCATCAGTGCAACCTGCCCTGTGTGTCTGTAAACACGCTAAGCAATGTGTTCTTGGACCTCCAAATATGTAGGCCAGTAGCTATTGTACCCTTGTCCCTTTATGAAACGGAGAACCCTCTTGGCTGCTTCCCAAGGAACATTTGTTGGCTGGGAGAGATACTGACACGCCTTGTTCTCAGCAGAGGAGATATCCAGCCGAGTCAATGTAAGGTACTGCAGTGCACTGACCGTGCTCCGGTAGGTATGAATGTCGGCTTCGCCAAGAGGAGGAATGCCAAGGTCATGGGACAACTTCTCATGAACACACTTGGGCGTAGAAACTGGCTTACAATTTGTCATCTGAGTGTGCTAAAGCAGATCAAGAGTGTACTTCTTTTGCGCGGCGACAATGGCCCTGGAACTGTGAGCCACTTTAATGCCCATGAAGTACTGAAGCTGGCTGAGATCTTATAACCGGGAAGGTGGCAGCCAAATGGCAAAGAAGATGATCTGTTGCTGCAACAGAAGAGCTTGCAATGACAATATCATCGACATAATAAACCAGCATATGGATGGTGACACTGCCATGGGAGAAGATGAACAAAGATGTGTCCACCAACAGATGTACTGAAGCCAATCACTCAGACGTGAGTACCAGACTGTTTAAGTCCATAGATTGCTTTGTGCAACTTGCATACATGCGTCGGATGAGCACGATCTTCAAAACCTGGCTGCTGCTGCATATATGCATCCTCTTGGAGAACACCATGAAGGAGCATTATTGATTTCAGCCATGACTAACTGCAAGAGACAACAAGCGACACATGGTAGCCGGTTTGACGACAGGACCGAAATGCCAACGTAGTCGATGCTGTGTCACTGCGTAAAACCCTTGGCAATGAGGCGAGCTTTATACTTGTCGATTGAGCCATTGGGTCATTGTTAACTTTAAACACCCACTTGCAACCAATGAGATTCTGACCAGGTGGGCGAGGAACCAGCGACCATGTTGAGTTGTGGCGAAGCGCTGCAAACTCGTCTTCCATAGCTGAGCGCCACTGCGGATCACCTCAAGCAGCACGGTATGAGACAGGCTCGGCGAGAAGGTGTGTCTATTGGGGTCATAGCAGATGGTGCCATCCGTCGGAACCACTTGATGCGACCACCGCGGGTGATCACAGGCCACACCGGTGCTGCTGTAAGCGGTCCAGGAGCATGAGCCGGAGACGGAGGAAGCCCAGCAGGAGAATGATCGCCAACGTGAGGCGAAGCCGAGTGCTGGGCTGGCCCATCAGATGTTGCACCATCTGCATGGCTACGCGTCGAGCACACTCGATGTGCTCGACGAGGTGGCATGATCCGTGTAGCTTGGGGCGGGTCTAACACGCGCCAGCATGGATGGGTGCCAGGGGTACAGGGCCAGCCAGAGCAGGGACATTTCCTGGGTTGTTCACTGGAGGGTCAGCGATCAGCCGAAGTCCTGGACCTGCAGCAGGATTATGAAGCAAATATTGCAAATCATAATGTCTCATACTAGCATTCTGAACGACCGGCTCGGAGGGAAACAAAATGGGCTCGGTGAGTAACGAAATATCAGGGGCGACATTGGATGCAAAGGGGAAAAAAACTCTTTCATAGATCACATGATGAGAAATAAAAAAAAATCAGTGGACCTATCCAAACACTATAATTCAAGCTTCTTGGAATTGTACATTTTTTTTAAACTGGAATTGTACATATTTTGCATACCCTTGAACAGGATTGTGGAAATCGTGGAGAACGCCCCACCAGTCAGTGGGTTACCTTGGAAGGGGGGGGGGGGAGGGTAGGATGTTAGATGAACCACCAGTCCAATATTTATAGGAGTGTTGATAATGATGATGATGTACAAGAATGGTAATACAACCTTGCACTAAGAAATGCAACTGTATGTGCATCCAGCTAATATGAATAATGCTATATTGCTCGGTCATTGTGGAGACCACATGCTGGATAATGCCAAGGAATAATGTACTGGTGATGGTGGGTATTTAGCTGAACTTAGAATCTGGGTAGATTTCGGAACATTGAAGCGTTGTGTATGTGTTAGATAAGATAATTGTTGTATTGATGTCAGCTAAAACTTAGCATGGGTTTCAATGAAACAAATTCAAGATACTATGCTTAAGTTTTTTGTCCATTTGATTTCATTGAGTGTTTTTTTAGTTCCCGAAAGCTCCAAGTACCTTGTGATCGGTTCATTGTCTCTGGTACCCTTGTGTAGATGTGACTCATCTACTGAAAGTCTAATACACTATGCTTCTTTGAACTGTAAACTGTTTACATATTTTAGCTGCAATAGATTAATTTGATTATGTGTTGCATGCCCATACTGTTATACATAAGGATCAAGTTCCTCGGATATTCTATTCTTGAAGTTACTTGGTTCAAGTAAACATATGCGATCACTTTCATGCTACTGTACAACTACAAAAATCACTTTCATGTTAGGATATGACTTTCATGTTTTTTGTATGGATTTCTTTCATGAGAGGGAAGAGTTTTACTATTTTTGAAATGTTGATGTAATTTTGTAGGTGGCTATGTGATGGTGGATGCAAAGTTACCAAGATTCGTGGTCCCTGACTTGACTGATTTTAAGGTGACTCTCATATTTTTGGGGTTTCAATATTTGGCACAGTTTCCAGTTACGTTTAAGTACCAAAGTTGCCTATGTGTACTTTATTACAACCTCAATTTTGTGGGAAAAGATGTAGAATATTGGAATATTAGCTCTTTTACTCAGAAAAATAGAGCACTAAAATAGTAAAAATAGTTAGCAGTACCTACAAACAGAAAATCACAAACATATTTTAAGCGAAGCTATGAAACTATTCCAAATTTAGCTAAGAAGAGTTAATGTTCCAAATTTAGTACCATTGCATTGTTTAACCTATATAAGCCAGAGTGGAGAAACTGAAACTGGGTGATATCCATTCCAAATTTAGCTAAGAGTTAATGTTCCAAATTTAGTACGATTGCATTGTTTAACCTATAAGCAAAGGTGGAGAAACTGAAAGTGGATGATATCACGTGTATTGGGCAAAAAGCTCCCTATGTGATTTGGCCGAGAGAATCATCTTTCCCTTCATTTTATGCCTTTGTGTTGTAACTAATTGGTTTCCTCTTTCTTTAAATAACTGCAGTTGAAGCCATATGTATCACAATGTGCCAGGGACGAACTCGGAGCCTCCTCAACTGAAAACAAGAACTGATATGTTTCTAGATGCTCTAGTTGTTACTTGTTTTACAAGAATGCAATGCATCTTTGCAATTATGTTTTCTTACGGTGCCCATGTTCAGAGCATCTAACCTCGTCAAGATTGCTACGTGTGGACTAGTCGTAATAACAAACTTTGTGCCTCAGCATAAATTCGTTTTTTCCTACCAATGTTGATTTACTCTGCGTTCACATTTTTTCTAGCATTTGTGATGTTCATTTCTGAAGCAAGTGATGCTACAATCTGCTTGACATACATGATACTTGTACTGGATCTTATATAGGTGATCCCCACGGAGCGTGGCGTTTGTGTGCTTGGGTTAAGTCAGACCGTTTTAAAAAAAAGTGCATTTCAAAGTTTAAAAAATAATCTGAAAAATCTACATATTCATATGAATGTATGCTAGATGTGAAAAGAATTCATGATGTAAACTTTATGTGTGAGCTACACAAAAAGACAAAGCAAAATCATTATTTTTTATAGTGAACAGTACATACAGTGTTCACTGTTTTCAAAATCATGATTTTGTGTTTCTTTTAGCTCGCTTGGCGATGTA